TACTATGTAGACAAGCTGCTTTGTATTCCTCTGCTGTGCAGAGCAATCAGGAGCGGACTGACAACTCATGCGGCCCCAGGGCAATAGGTGATCATGGGGCCCCTGTGTCCTTGTCCACACTCAAAGCACACCCAAAAAAGCCTATAAAAGGTATCAGGGGCATTTCATGGGGCCCCCTACTGACCCCAGGCCCTCGGGCAGTGCTCGAATGGTCAGTCCGCCCCTGAGTGCAATACAAGGCAGCCTGTTTGTGCTGACAAAGGAGAGGTCTGTGTTGTTTACACACAGACCTCTCCCCGTCACTGTTCCTCTGCGATTGCTGCATGCCGGCGGGGAATCTCCGGCCAGGACCTGGTGATCGACAACTGTAGCTGCCAATGGCGGTGCGGGTAGGGCGCCGCGCGCGTGCTCCCTTCCCGGCACTTCAAAGTAGTTCTACTATAGGGCGGTGGGGAAGCAGTTAAACCCACAAGTGTTTTTTTTTTTTTTTTTTTTTTTTTTTACCACTACTATTCTTTTACACCAGCTTGTGAAACTTACAGATGCAGCAATTTAGAAACTGAATGAAAGGTTTAGCACCAGGAAACACTTTGTGACAGATAAATAGTGCATTTTATATACATCTCAGAGATCCAAAAAATGAGCGACACATGAGGAGGAAGGAGGGGACAGAGGGACTTTGTTCCAAATCAGGGACAGGCCTTCGAAATCAGGGACAGTTTGGGAGCTATGCATACATTACAACATAAAAATACAAATGCACAACACATATAAATGCACAATAAATATGATGGGATCCCCCAAAAAAATCTTATTAAAACGGGATTAAATTAAAGCATATATTGGTAATATTCAGACAGTTGGGATTGGAACAACAGGGGCGGACTGGCAACTCATAGGGGATCATGGGGCCCCTGTGTCCTTGCCCAAAAAAAAGCCTATGAAAAAGGTACCAGGGGCATCTCATGGGGCCCCCTACTGACCCTGGGCCCTCGGGCAGTGCCCCAGTTTCTAAATGGTCAGTCCGCCCCTGGTTTGGAATGGTCACTATCAAGGCCGTGGATAAGGGGGTACCACCAGTCCTCCTGTACGGGGCCCAAGCCAGCAGGGAGGCCCAGGCAGCTGAGTGAATCTGATGTGGGAGGGTGATTGGCACAGTAGGGGGGCAATTACTGGAACCAATCCCCTGTATTGTTCTCTGCAGCAGCTGAAAGCCGGATTCTTCTCCCCTTCTCATCAGCTTTCAGCTGCTGCAGAGAACAATACAGGGGATTGGTTCCAGTAATTGCCCCCCTGCCGCATTGATCACCCTCTCTGTGCACCATGTGTTTTCCCCTGTGTGTCCCAACAACCCCTCGCAGTGCTGCGAGCTTCCCTCAGCTTCTTCCCACTGGCAGCTGCAAACACCCAATAGGATCCTTCAGGATGGAGAGTGGGGGAAGATCCTGTAAATATGTCACATTTACAGCCCTTTCCTTACCTGAATGAACACAATGAGAGATCGGCACCAATCGCTCACTGTGTTCATAACTGAAGCATAGCAAACTGTGTTTATTTGGGTGGGGCCCTGTCAAGTTGGCTGTATGGGGCCCCGTGGTGTCTAACAGCAGCCCTGGTCACTATAGTCACTAATCACAGGTGTTAGAAAACTTCAATGATCCTCATAATAGTGATATAGTAGTGTCAGAAGTGATCAGCCGGGTGAGACGTCCACATTGGCTTGTTCTGGCGTGTCCGACTACTACAGCGTTTGTCCTCATAAGGCTTTTAAAAGACCTTTAAATTGTAAGTGGCTTTTCAGTAGATAATAAATGGGGTTTTAACTGTATTATACTATTGGAGCTTTTATCCTTTCCTTCATGAATGCTGGTTTATATTGGGCTGATCTGGAAGGTTCCGCTGGATGGAATGGATGAAATAAAACAACGCTCTCTATCCCGATCATGGGAATGTGAGGCATATAAATTTGGTGAGTGACTTTGTAGAACCCCCTTTTGCTGCAAGTCTTTTTGGGGATGTCTCTACCAGCTTTGTACATCTAGAGAGGGACATTTCTGCCCATTCTTCTTTGCAGAATAGCTCAAGCTCTGTCAGATTGGATGGAGAGCGTCTGGGAACAGCAGTTTTCAAGTCTTGCCACAGATTCTCAATTGGACTTAGAATGGCCCAGTCACAGTCCAGACCTAACACATGAATATGCTTTGATCTAAACCATTCCATTGTAGCTCTGGCTGGATGTTTCGGGTCATTGACCTGCTGGAAGGTGAACCTCCACACCCAGTCTTAAGTCTTTTGCAGACTCTAACTGGTTTTCTTCTAAGATTACCCTGTATTTGGCTCCATCCATCTTCCCATTCACTCTGATCAGCTTTCCTGTCCCTGCTGAAGAAAAGCATCCCCACAACATGATGCTGCCACCACCATGTTTCACGGTGTGTTCAGGGTGATGTGCAGTGTTAGTTTTCTGCCACACATAGCATTTTGTTTTTGGGCTAAAAAGTTAAATTTTGGTCTCATCTGACCAGAGCACCTTCTTCCACGTTTGCTGTGTCCCCCACATGGCTTCTCACAAACTGCAAACAGGACTTCTTATGGCTTTCTTTCAACAATGGCTTTCTTCTTGCCACTCTTCCATAAAGGCCAGATTTGTGGAGCACAGGACTAATAGTTGTCCTGTGGACAGATTCTCCCACCTGAGCTGTGGATCTCTGCAGCTCCTCCAGAGTTCCCATGGGCCTCTTGGCTGCTTCTCTGATGAATGCTCTACTTGCTTGGCCTGTCAGTTTAGGTGGACGGCCATGTCTTGGTAGGCTTGCAGTTGTGCCATACTCTTTCCATTTTCAGATTATGGAATAAACAATTTTCCATGAGATGTTCAAAGCTTGGGATATTTTTTTAATAACGTAATCCTGCTTTAAACATCTCCAAAATGTTATCCCTGACCCGTCTGGTGTGTTCCTTGGCCTTCATGATACTGTTTGTTCACTAATGTTCTCTAGCAAACCTCTGAGGGCGTCACAGAACATCTGTATTGATACTGAGATTAAATTACACACAGGTGGACTCTATTTACTAAGGTATTACTATTTACTTAGGTGACTTCTGAAGGCAATTGGTTCCACTAGATTTTAGTTAGGGGTATCAGAGTAAAGGGGGCTGAATACAAATGCACACCACACTTTTCAGATATGTATTTCTAAAAAATTTTGAAAACCATTTTTCATTTTCCTTCCACTTCACAATTATGTGCACTTTGTGTTGTTCTAGAAATTCTGAAGGATCCTCTGCAAACTGCTATATACCCTTTCAAGCAAACTTTGCAATAGATAGGGATGTTTGGTTCACACATATTGCAATACATGCTTAAGCTGGCCAACTGCATCAAAGTAATCCCTCTATGGCCGGTCCTACTCTGCTCTACCTACGCAAATGCTACTGTGGACACAATGCCAACATTTTGTCCACAATTGTGTCCCTTTAGCACCTGATGGATAAATGCATGTACTAGCTATTGGACCTCCGCTTTCTCACCACCGGGTGGGGTGATTCTGAGGACTGCAACCTGGTGCTAACACGCAGCAAAAACCATCTCCTCCATCAGGAGCTCTGGTGAACACCGGACCTCAGGTGAGCCCACTCCTCCGCCAGGGTAACCTGCCTGTATACCTATCTTGCTGTTTTTGGTGTTTTCAGTACTTAGACTCCGTACCTCAGGTGAGCCCACTCCTCCACCAGGGTGACTTGCCTGTGTACCTATCCTGCTGGTTTCCGTGTTTTTGGTACTTTCTCAGCACCTCAGGTGGGTCCACTCCTCCACCAGGGTAACCTGCCTGTGTACCTATCCTGCTGGTTTCCATGTTTTCGGTACTTACTCTTCACCTCAGGTGATCCCACTCCTCCGCCAGGGTGACCTGCCTGTGTACGTATCCTGCTGGTTTCCGTGTTTTTGGTACTTACTCTTCACCTCAGGTGAGCCCACTCCTCCGCCAGGGTGACCCGCCTGTGTACCTATCCTGCTGGTTTCGGTGTTTTCATTATTTAGACTCCGCACCTCAGGTGAGTCCACTCCTCCACCAGGGTGACCTGCCTGTGTACCTATCCTGCTGGTTTCCGTGTTTTCGGTACTTACTCTTCAACTCAGGTGAGCCCACTCCTCCGCCAGGGTGACCTGCCTGTGTACCTATCCTGCTGATTTTGGGGTTTTCTTTATTTAGACTCCGCACCTCAGGTGAGCCCACTCCTCCATCAGGGTGACCTGCCTGTGTACCTATCCTGCTGGTTTCCGTGTTTTCGGTACTTAGACTCCGCACCTCAGGTGAGCCCACTCCTCCACCAGGGTGACCTGCCTGTGTACCTATCCTGCTGATTTTGGCGTTTTCATTATTTAGATTCTGCACCTCAGGTGAGCCCACTCCTCCATCAGGGTGACCTGCCTGTGTACCTATCCTACTGGTTTCGGTGTGAGCCTTTTTCCACTGCTATAGCAGCTGATCTTCGATCCTGACCCCTGACCGTGACGCATACTTTGCTATGAAAAGCTTATATAACCTTTCAGTATACACTTCCCACATTCAAATATTCACATATATCTTTAGAAAGGTTAGCAAAATGTTATTCATAAAATACAGTATTAGTTTTTTTTTTCCGCAGTGGCTCTGATGAACCCTCTTGTGTCTGCTGTCTAAAGCTCAGATTTGAAACATTTAGATCTCTCTCTTCTGTTACATGCAATTTTTTTTTTTTTCACGGTCCTCCTTGATTGCAAAACATTTTCATTTTGAAGACAAGGACACAACTTCTTTCCTGTATGTCTTCTGATAACAAGAACATCCTGCTGTTTGTACGAAGCACTTTCTGAACATCTAAATGACTTCTCTATGTGTTTTCTGGTGTTTCGTCAGGCTTGCCTCTACAGAGAAGTACTTTTCGCATTTTGAACAACTAAATGGCTTCTCTCCCGTGTGGACCCCCTCTGGTGATTGTTTAGATGTGATTTAATCCTAAAACTTATTACATTCAGGGCATTGAAATGGTTTCTCTCCTGTGTGAATCCTCTGGTGTTGAGAAAAATTAGATATGCTTGAGAAGGACTTATTACATTCCAAACATCTGAAAGGCTTCTGTTCTGTGTGAATCCTCTGATGTCTTGTAAGATCTGTTTTAATGCGAAAATATTTCTTACATTCAGGGCATGGATATGGCTTCTCTCCCGTGTGAATCCTCATGTGTTTATAAAGACTGGATATTTCTGAGAAGCCCTTGTCACATTCTGAGCATCTGAAAGGCTTCTCTCCTGTGTGAATCCTCTGATGTTTTGCAAGATTTGCTTTTTGGTAAAAATATTTATCACATTCAGTACACTGATACGGTTTCACTCCTGTGTGAATCATCTTGTGTTCAGTGAATGAACTGTGACGTGAAAACTTCTGATCACATTCAGAACAATGGTATGGCTTCTCTCCGGTGTGAATCCTCTGGTGCCTGATAAGATGGTCCTTTCGTAAGAAACTCTTGTCGCATTCTGAGCACATAAATAGCCTTTCCCCCGTGTGAGTCCTCTGATGATTCATGAAATTATCTTTTGCTCTAAAAGATTTGTCGCACTCAGTGCAAGAAAATGGCTTTTCATCTGCACCATCCATCATACTTCACAATTTCTTCTCTTTCATCCACCTGCAATGAAATTTAAAATAAATGTTTATGTAAATGAATGGAATACTAGCGGAGTAGAAATTTAGTAACATTTGAAAACCGTGTTGAGAAATGTGCAATTTCAGAAATATGCTTTGTTTCATGTGTAGACTTAGTAGCGAATTACAAATAGAAAGTGGATTTTGCTGTCGACTTCTCTAAAAATGGTTAGGTTACAATCCACTGTATCTGCATTTTGTGGGTCATTAATAAAATGTAGACTGCAGTTTGGAGGCAATAGCTTATAGACTTTTCTCTGCTGAAAGCAGCACAGAGAACTTTGCGATACGTGACTTTGGCAAGTCAGCACATTTCTAAGCACAGCACTGTGCTTTATAAGACTCCATTCACACTTGGGAATTTGGAATCGCCAGCAAGTCTGCCCATGATCCAAAATCACATGACAATCATGGCAAAAAACACACGCCGTGCATTTGGATTCCATTCGTTCTTAATAGCACCCCAAACGCAGTGCGATTTTGATGATTAACGCACAACAGAATTGCACAGAAATTGAGGTAAAGCTCCCTTTAACCACCTCCCGCCCGCCATATAGTCCAATGATGGACGCAAGGTGGTTCTCCTCGTTCTGGGAGGACGTCATATGACGTCCTCCCATTCTCACCCGCGCATGTGCGGCTCAGGGAGCGCGCAGCTCGGCGATCGGCGGTGCGCTGTGTCCCTTGGACACAGCGGATCACCGATCCACGGAAAGAGCCGAAGATGTCGGCTCGGTCACGTGATCAGCTGTGTCCAATCACAGCTGATCACATGTAAACAGGGAAATGCCGGTTATCGGCATTTCTCTCCTCACGAGCTGTCACGCTGACAGAGAAGAGGAGAGCCAGTAATCAGCATTCTGCGGAGAGGACATCTACACTGATCATCAGAGCACTGATGATCAGTGTAGCCCCAGCAGTGCCACCTGTCAGAGTCCATCAGTGCCAGCTCTCAGTGCTCATCAGTGCCACGTGCTAATGCCCATCAATGCCCATTCATGCCACATTCAGTGCCCATCTGAGCTGCCTTTCAGTGTCACCCATCAGTGCCACCTATCACTGCCAGTCAGTGCCGCCTATCAGTGCCAGTCAGTGCCGCCTCAGCGCACATCAGTGAAGGAGAAAATTTATTATTTACAAAATTTTATAACAAAAACTAAGAAAAAAAACTTTTTTGTTCTTTAAAATTTGGTTTGTTTAAGAAAAAATAAAAAAAACAGAGTTGATTAAATACCACCAAAATAAAGCTCTGTCTCAAAAAAATGATAAAAATGTCATATGGGTACAGTGTTGCATGACCGTGCAATTGTCATTCATAGTGTGACAGCGCTGAAAGCTGGAAATTGGCCTGGGCAGGAAGGGGGTATAAAGTGCTCTGTAGGCTCGTGGTTAAAAATCACACAAAGCATGTCACCCAAAAAAGGTACGTGAGCTTCTTTTGCACAACAAAGCACATAGGGCAATCTTTTCAATTGAATAGATTGCCTTGAATACAACTCGCAGAAACACATGTAAATCACGCTAGAAAAACTGCGAGCAGGAACGCGAGTTTCCACTATGTGAGATGTAAAAAAATGTGGTCTAAGGCTAGGTTCCACATCTGTGTGGGTGGTGCCGCTGCAGATCAGCACGAAAATCCATGCAGCCGCACCACCTGCACAGAGAAATGCGGAATCGCGGGTGGGTGCCATTAATTCTAATGGCACTCCGCCCGCACTGGAAAATGCAACCATACTGGGACCGAGGTTCCTGTGCGGACTGCGTTTTCCAAAGAAGTGCAGGGACTTCTTCCCTTCATGTCACAGGCACCGGAGTCCATTCAAATGAATGGGACTCTCGTGCCGTGCAAAACGCAGCCCGCACAGCCGCATATATGTGAACCGGGGCTAAGTGTGCAGTCTCTCCCTTTTTTTTTTTTTTTTTTAAATTATTTATTAAGCAATAGTATGGCTGTGGTACGGTAATTTCAGTGCTTTTTAACTGGGCCCCTTAGTGAACTTGCAGTGCACAGGGAAGTGGAGTATAATAAGTGTGGAAATTATTATAGAAATAAATAAAAATCCATTAATATACCGTATGTAAATATTTTTAAGTCCACTAGATATGCAAAAAATTCACAAGTGCACTTAAATATCGACTTTTGTCATAGTTTGCGAACGAGCTGGGTTCGGTTTGAACCTAGTTTCCTGAATCCCCGCATTAGGCCAATACATGGACAAAATATGGCTGTGTTCTCATATTAGGACAATTACGTCACTATCATCCCCACTCCTTGGTTTAAGTGCAGTTGCAGGATGGAAAATGCCACCACGGACGTTGATTGGACTGGAGAGATATGATCCTCTGAGAACTTCCACGGTCCTGCTGAGAGCTTCCACGGTTTGGTCTGAACTGGGTTTGGTCAAGTTCAGGCTGAACCCAGCTCAACCCAAGTCATAATTACCAATAATAAGGGCAAGGGTTTGCATTCATTAGTGACTATGATTAAAGCGGACCACATTGTAAAAAAAATAAAATAAAGCCCCCCTTTGAAAAGTTTTGAAGTGGCAATAAATAAACCCACTTTTTTACTTTTTATTGCAGGATTTTTGTTGTTGGAATTATCTTTGGTGTTTTTAAAACTCTGGGCTCTTTCCCCTATGGAGATTATGCACAATGATGCACAGGCGGACCATGTGTCTATGCACTGAATGCTGTACGAAGAAACCTTTTTGTTTAACCTCTTCCCGTCTGTCCCATGTATATAAACGGCCGGCCAGGAGCAGTACAGGGGTGGGTGGCCGTTTATAAACATTCTCCCCACTTCCCTGCCTGTGTGCGCTCCCTGGGAGCCTGCTGTATCCTCCTTTTCTTTTGTCCAATTTAGTGTTAACAAAATGGAGGTTTGTTTGTGTTTACAGTGGTTCTTACGGCTAAAGATTCTATTTAATTTAACATATTCTCTGTATTAAGGCAAAAACTGAGTGCAGCTCCCTCTCCAGTCCACCCAGTCGTGATCCAGCAATGTGAACAAGAGCAACTTCTCTCTCCCTACGCATAGATTCAGAGACAGCAGTGGGAATCATTTGCTCCAGCTGCTGTCAATCACAACCAGTGGGGAGGGAGGGGGGGGGGCCAGGCTGAGTTGCGCTCTGTGTGTCTATGGACACACAGGGCCATCTTGGATGGCATAGCATGGGGGGTTGCTGTGGTGAGCACTTGGTGTGGGGGGGGGGCGCAGGGGCATATTTACTATGAGGCAAACAAGGCATTTGCCTAGGGTGGCATTTTCCAGGTGGGCAGCACCCCCCAAGGAAGAAAGTAACATATGCGGCATGGTGACCGGGTAGGAATCTGAAAGAGGTTGCAGGCCGCTTGATGGTGCATGCAGAGCCCAACTCTCATTCCCGGGGATGTACAGAGCTGAGAAGGTGAGTGTCTTTCTGTTGCCCAGGTGGGGTGTTAGTGGAATGCTCTCTCGGTTGGGGGGGTAGGGTGTTGCTGGTCACTGTCAGGCTCTCTCCGAGGGGGGTTGGTTAGGTGGTCTGGTGTTGGTTGGTGTCATGCACTCTCCGCTGAGGAAGGGGGTTGGTTGGTTAGGGGGTCTGGTGTTGGTTGGTAGGGGCGGACTGACCATTTGGAAACTCGGCCCGGGGTCAGTAGGGGGCCCCATGAGATGCCCCTGGTACCTTTTTCATAGGCTTTTTTGAGTTTGGGCAAGGACACAGGGGCCCCATGATCCCGTATTGCCCGGGGGGCCCCATGAGTTGTCAGTCCGCCACTGATGGTCGGTGTCATGCTCTCTCTGCTGAGGGGGGGATGGGTTTGGTTGGTTGGGGGGGGGGGGGATCTGGTGTTGGTCGGTGTCATGCTCTCTCTGCTGAGGGGGGGATGGGGTTGGTTGGTTGGGGGGGGGGTCTGGTGTTGGTTGGTGTCATGCTCTCTCCGCTAAGGAATGTGGTGACGTATTTCTGGCGTGGACGCCATCTTGCTACACCCAAACCCATGCAAATACACCCATAGCATGTGGTTTAAATGCCTATACATTACTGTGTAAATGTGAGTGGGAGTTTTTGGATTTACTAAGATTTCTAACAGATTAAAAAAGGTTTTACACTATGGAAGATCTTCTTCATGACTTTTACAGCGAGTTGGCTGTATTACACCTATACTTACCCGGAGAGGACCCTGTTATCGAAAACGCATGTTATTGAAGGGGATACCATTGTTTTGAGTAGATATCATCTACAGAGGAGTTTCTTGGCACGGAGGATCTTTTTTATGATCTTACAGGCATTTTGGCCCGTTTGGGTCACTGCAAGAAGGTGAGGGGGCATTTCAGCAGTTTTGGGATATCTTTCGCTTTGGTTGGCACGCACATTCACTTTATCACCCGCACGTTTGGAAAAGTCATTGGATCACTTGGCGTTTATGCACCTTTGAACTTTTTACATATGTGTTTCCTATTTATTTAGTGATTTATTACATATTTTTACTGACACGGTTTTTTCATTTTTTTGTGCGTTTTGTTCATACTTTGCATTTTGGGCACATTTTTGGAGTTTGGTTTTATAAAAAAAAAAATTATTTTTATGTTTTATTTTTTATATATATTTTTGGGGGGATTAAATTATCCAAAATTATGGGATAATGATGTTTTCTATGGAGTGCGGTGTTTGAGTGGCACTTAGGGATTTGTGACACTTCTATATTCATTGTTTCACCTTTTTATTTAGTCCTACGTTTTGCTGTTTTTCACCTTTTATCCAGTCCCATTTGGACTATATTTATTTATAATATTCTTTACTTTTAGGATATTTCACCTTTTGAATATCACATTGGATCCCTGAGTGGATCAGTTCACGTTACACACTTTATTTTAGTCCTTTTTTTTGGACCTG